CATTGTCCTGGCGCAGCTGCATCTCGCAGTTCTGGCACTTGCAGCTGGGTCGCGGCTGCCGCTCTCCTAAAGCCGTCCTCACAGTGCGAGGCACGCCCAGCCAAGCAAACCTTGGAATAGGCCGCGCAGCGCAGGCAGAGCCTGCACTGCTTCTGCTCAGGGGAGTCTCCTTCCAGGCCATGGCCCGGTCTAGCGCAAGTCAGGCTCAACGCAGCTTGAACCACCAGAAGTGCAAACTTCCAGTGCACACCAAGCAGGATGGAATGGCCGCCACCCTCCACAAATTTACACAGGTGGGCTGCGGTCGGCTGGTGTGCTTGCAGGATCCCTATCAAGTTGTCTGTTGAAGCCCTGCCAACAGCAAGGGCACCACAACCAGGTAGCGGGAGATGACCACCAATGTCATGCCTTTGCATGTGTTTCAGGACTGCCTCAACTTGTCTGCGTGGCTCAAGTTCTGGAACCCAGCTGCGCTCGGGCAGTCTGGTCGAACAAGTTTCACTTAATACCTCAGCACTTGCTGAGGCGTAAAGCAGCCACAGTACAACAGACGACGGGTCGGACTCTACTAACCACTGGCTACCGGACAGCAAGCCCCCACTACGGGCTTGCAATTTAGCTAGGGGTTCCAGAGGCCGCCCTTACCATAGAAGCAGAGCACGTTAACATCCACGCTTTCATGAACTTTCTTGCACCAAAAAGTTCGGCAAGGGCGCACAAAGTGCGAGGCCTGTGCTCCAGACACATGGTTCCTTGATGGGTCGTGAAAGCCGCGGGCCCAAACGAAAGAGAAAGTGCGAGCGCTGTGTCCATTTTGCAGAATCCGTGGCAGACCCGTGGGCTGCATGCCACTGAAGTGCACGAGCTGAGAGATCCCATCTGCACGGCAAAGCGCTGAAGCTGACACGGGCAATGGGAAACTTGGCCTAGTGCTTTGCTGGCCTGGCGGACAAGAAGTGCCAGCAACATTTGCTCTGGGAACAATGGCCAAGAAACTGAGAAGTCATCAAAGACTGTTGCTGCCATGGCTGTGTCTGAATCCAGGTCCGGCAACCCAGCTGCCCAGGTTGATCTTACGAAAAGGTTTGGCCAAAAGGGCAGTGGAACCTTACATTTTGCTGGATCACAGGAAGCAGCCCTTACCTTGAGCAAGCTGGCACCGAAAGCCTTCGGGCACCGTTCTGTGCACTTTCCAGGCAGGGGCTGGGCGGCTAGTGGCAAAAGCAATGCCTCTGACGGCTGGGTCGTTAGCCTCAGTCGATGTAGATCTGACTCATCTGCACCTGCAATCACTGGCCACACCACCCGAACCTGAGCGCGTGCTTGGAGCTTTGGCAGCTTGAAAATAGGATCTGTTGTTCTATCCCCTGCCAACAGGTGCAACAGACTCAGGCCCCTCATCCCACATACAAAGCGGCTCTTCCTCCTCCCTTTCGGCCTGATCCGTCACAACAGGCCCAGGAGAAGGCAATTCGCAAAGGCACGCCACCTTGCCAAGGTGGTGCAACTGATAGCCGAGACTGCCTCCAAGGCATTACAAAACATGACGAAAGAATGCAGCTACGTTTTAGGGAGCCTGGAGGGTGCGACACCTGGCAGAGGCACGTGCTGGTCAACTGCCTTGCCTTTTTATGCCCATGTTGCTGGACAACTCCTTCTGCGGTACAAATGAAGAGGACGATAACTGTCAGTCTACGCAAAACTGGCGTGTCTGCGGGCAAGTCAGCTTGCAGCTGTCCACAAGGGCGTTTTGGATTACACTGCTGTCTAGTTTGAGCCCAACTCTTTCCACGGCACGGTGTAAAACATGTTGGGTCCTGAAGGGAGGCTCTTGACAATTGTGACCAGCCTGCTGACAGGACCGGCGCTGATTTCAAGCCGAGCACAACCATCATCACACAGGGGCACCAGCTCAGATTCACAGTGCGCCCGCAGCCTTTGCAGAGCAAAGGCAATAGCAAGGCAAATCAGGTGCTTGCAACTACTCACGCTGGTGCACCGAATTTCACTGGCTGTTCTGAGGAAACCTGCTTGGTGCAATCCTTGCCAATCTTGCCACGAGCCTTACTGGCAACACTGAGTTTCCAAAGCAGATCGTCAACGCAAGCCTTGGTATACTGACACAACAGAGGTGGACCCCCACGCGGCGCGTTTCAAGTATCAAAGCAGCATGACCACATCGCGGTGCGAGGCCTGAATGCAACAAAACAAGAGGGAGTTCAGAAGCCAAGCTCTGCTGGCTCAGGTGCCCTGCCAGACTTGCTGGGCCCTTTTCTTGGCCTAATGGCAACAAGAACTTAAAACACCACTCTGTTTATGCCCAACAGCGTGCCTGCCGTTCCCAAGGCTCCCCGCTCTCTTCCTGGATTCCTGGCCTAGCGGCAACAAGAACTTAGAACACCGCGTGCCTGCCGTTCCCAAGGAACGAGAATGCAAGGCAGGCTTGGGCTGCAAAGGCTCAAGTCAACTTCGTGGCTTGGCTGCGTGTTATTGCAGAACCTGTGTCAAACCACGCTGTCTAAGTCAGCACTGTAAGGTGCTGACATTGACGCGGGCCTTTAGTGACTTAAGCTGCCGCTGGTACCCTTGTGGCCTGGAAGGCTGGCCAGGGGGAGCAGCGTCAGCAGCATGCCCCTGGACGTACATCAGCTGATGCGATACAGAGTCCCCGCCGGAATCTGCAAAAAGCAAGAGTCAGTTGTTCTCGGGCACTGAAAGCCACTGGCTGCGGCAAACAAAGAGTGCAAGCCCTGAGTCAGCACTGCAAGTTTCGCGGCAAACAACTGGGCTGCATCCCGCAGAAGAGCACATGCTTGGAGGATGCGCTACATAGGCTTTGATGATGCGCCAGTATGGTGAGCTGGTCTTAATCAGTGTTGATCGGCCTCCGCCTCCTCTGCACCTCCAACCACTGGCCACAAAAGTCACGGCATGACACAAGACTAACTCTTTGAAGTCGTTGGTCTCCATCGACGTGGATCCGACTCATCTGCACCAGCAATCACTGGCCAGCCGGCGGATGTTGAGGCAGCTTGAACTAAAGTCCATTGTCGAACACATGCGACAACATAAGCAGGCCCCTCATCCCACATACATAGCAAGACTGCCTCCGGGGCTGCACTAGCTGCCCTCAGGATGTGCTAGCAAGATAAGGCGCTGAAATTGACGCGGGCAGGTGCCCTGCAGCCAACAGCATCGCGTGCTGTGCTGGGTTTTCTTAAGTCGCACCGGGAAAGTCGGAGAAAAACATCCGGCAGCCATTTGGACGCACTACATGCTGGTGCCCATGTGCCAAGAAAGCGTAATCCTGGACCCAAAGTTTGTATGCAGGAAGTCGTGTAGCAAACACGTTCAACGGCACGAATTGAGGCCTGCCAAAAACTGTAGCCAAGCCCCTCTACAGCATGTCTGCTCTGTGCGCTGCGTTCTGAGGCGTCACTGGGAAACAGGGTGGCATTTGCTTTTTGTGGTCGGTTTTATAGTTGGCCGATGAAAGGCGGCTCACATCGGCCGCAAGGATCATCCTTTCAAGGAGAACCAGCACGGGCTGTAGGCTGTGACAACGACAGCGCTTGTTGACAACGAAGGCCCTTAAAGGCAGCCAAAGGGGCTATACCGTCTTGTCCACCTTTCCGAGGTTTGCACTTGCAAGAGTCAAGCACCTGACAAGCCATGTGATTCGGGTAATGTAGCGTCTCAAGGATGTGTCCCTGCGCGATGAGCAGCCCACGTCGCAACATCTTCAAATCCTTGTTCTGACCAGCCGTGCGATCTCTTCGGCTACCACGGCTCTTCTGGAAAGAAAGGGGAAGCTTTTGCTAGCAAAAAGAAGCAACTTCCGCTGTCTGTGCCTCTGTCGTTGTGTCTCTCTCTCTCTTTCTCTGCTCCACTCTTCTGGTCCATGCCTTGGTCTGTTGCAACAGTTCTCCCTCCGCCCACACACCCCTCTCCCCATTCCACGTGCATTCACGCCAGTCCTCGGCGACCTGTCAATGCAACTCCGGGTGAAGAGACGAACCAGACTGCCAAAAGGCACATTCTGCATTTGCGACTGCGAGCTCTACAATTTCTAAATCAGAAAACAAAGGTTCGTATCTAACGACGAGCGGCAGACGACCCCCCAACCCAAGGGTAAATTGAACAGCTTTTCTGGCGGGCGTCAGGCTGCTGCGCCGCTTTTGCTAACACACGTGCGAGAAATCTGCAAAGCCTGCCCGCGGAGTGCACAAAAAACCACTACTGGCATGCAACGCACGTCTGCACATGTGGAATATACAACCTCCAAGTCTGCCAATTTTGGCACGTATCCAAACTCTGGGATCAAACTACCCGAAGAACTGCCACAATCATAAGGACAAACTGGACACCCACTTTGCCAGGCGCCGCGGGCGAAGTGGTTAGCCGCATTGACTTTTGTAGAGCAGGCTGCAAGCGCACGGGTCAAGCAAGGATTGGACTGCGAACACTAGCTGTCGATCTTAGTGTTGCCTCTGCACCTTGTGCTTGAAATGTCTGCAAAATCTTCGCTGCACAGGCGCATCAACTCCCGAATGTGGCTGGAAAGTGCGCCTGCCTTGACACGCAGGACTTGCCCCTGAAATGTTCCAACAAAGGCTACCATTCTATGGCGCTGAGGCCTCACCACCATGCTTGGCACGAGCGGTAGCACCCCGGCCGGCCGTCCAGGCTGCGTAATCCTGGTGCCAGACAAACCCTTCACCAGCATGCTTCGGCAGTCAAAGCCATGGCTATCGCTTCCTGACGTAAGGAGCGACATATTGCTCGCCGACTTGGGGGAGGGGCTGGCCGGAAAGTTTGCTTCAGCTTCTCGCCTCACAAATTGCGTGATGACTCGGTCACTCTCCCATGAAGCAGCGTGCTTCGAAACGGCGCAACACATAGGGCCATGTCAAGGCAAACGAGAATCTGTGTTTGCCTCCGTGTGAGGGAACGCATCCCCTTGCACCGACGCCCAGCCGAGCGAATATCTGTCTGAGCTGCTAGCTCAAAGGTTGCAAGCTTGCAACAATGCCTGCAATGGCATGCGCTGCCGTCTTCAGTGCTGCAAAGCACGATGAGGAGACATTGGCAGCACGACATAAACGTGTTCCCCAACAACTTGGGAGGGTTTTAAGCGCGGCTTTGCTTGGAGGCTGAGCCATACTTGGCCTGGCAACCTTCCTGCCAAGCATGACTCTCCCATCAAGACACCGCAACGGTTTCAATCCTGACCGCGCAAGGGCTGTTGCCTGATTGGCGGGAACATGACAAGCTCCAGGCGTGCTGCTCCGTGAGCCGCACGCAATCTGAACGAGGCAAACCTTGCTTTCCTTTGTTGGTGCCATTTGCTCAGCCACATCGCGGCGACGAGCGCCAAGGAACAAAAGGATTTTTTGCAAAGTTGTGGCACCGCCTCTTTCCAGGACTGCTTGGGATGAGCTGAAGCACCTTGCACCAAACTGCCCCTGCATCTCTTCGGAGCACTGCATGGTGCAGTGGCACGCGTGCTTTGCTAAACGGCAAAGTCCCGTTGGCTGAAAGCGCATAAACAATGTTTCATGCCGGATGCTTTCCTGGAGTGAGAGGCTTTTCATAGCGCAATTTACGTTAGCTTCCCGCCTTGCATGCCAGGTGCAGTTCTGGGCACTAGCAAGCGTAAAGTGGCATCCGCCGGACGGACAACTGGCAAATATGCCTGCTCGCAGAGGGGGCTGCCCAGCAACCAAATGCGACCATTAATTGAATCCTTTTGCAAAGCATCATAAGCATCATTCTCATGACGCAACCTGGCTTGAAGCTGCCCAGCACCGGGGCCAATGGTTGGCTGCTGCAGGTGACTTTGTGCAGTTTTGTATGGAGCTATGATTTGCCCCTTTTGTTGTCCCATGTCCTTATAGGACCGAGGTGACCCGGAAGGAAGGAACGAAGGAAGTAAGGAAGGAAGGCTACTGAACGTAGCCACCTGGGCAATGCGAAAGGATGGCCGTCTGGAGGACTGTCCATCTAAACAAGGGACAATATCAAGCGATACTACGAGGAAAGGATTGGGCCCAGCATCTTGGGATGTGAAAGTGCCCCCAAGTCCTCAAGAGTCAAGCGGTGAGGGCGTTCCATGAGCGCGCAAGCTCTTCCGCAGCTGCCTGCCCACGCGCATTCTTCCCAAGGCGCCTTTCGCCGTTCACAGCCTTGGACGAACACGCCACCGAAAGTACAGGTTCATGTTTTGGACTTGTCTGAGAAGATTGGACCAATTTGCCAAAACTTGAAGGCTTCCCTACAACACCAAGCTCCTCCCCCGAACAAGCATGCTAAGAAGAATTCGCCTCGGCCCCAAAGGGGCCAAGGGCGCTCAGATCTCTTCTCCAAAGAGAATCTTCGCTTTTCCCCTCCCCCAACCCCCTCCCCGACCAAAATTTTGCCGGGCCGCCCCCCCCAACCCATGTCGGCTGGACCCAAAATCCTGTCCGGCGGGCCTTGAAATTTTCGGGGTTCGTCGGCGTCCAGCTCCATGGGTCCATTTTTGTCGAAAATGTGCTGACAATTGCTAAAAATGCTTTTTTGTCCTGAAAAGCATGACCTCCTGGTGGCCAGGCTTGCCTGACGTGTCTGAGACTAGGCTCAGGCCCAGCCCAAAGCCCACCAGCCTCAGGCCCAAGCTTCAGGCCTACCCCAAGTCATCCAGCAAGCCCAGCCCAGCCAGGCCGGCCCCAAGGTCAGGTTTGTCTAACGTGTCTGAGACTGGCCTCAGGCCAACGGTGTCTGAAACTGGTCTCAAGCTATGCCAGCCACCAAGCCCGTCTGACGTGGCCCAGCCCTCAGTCCGGCTGCCCAAGCAACTCAGCCCAGGCTGGCCAGACCTTGACCTCCTGCTCGCGTCTGGCCCCAAATCAGCCAGCAGGCCCAGCAGCCTGGTCCGGCTGCCCGGCAGCCAGCAACCCACCCATGGCTTCGCAGCCTTGTGGCTGAGACTAGCTTCAGGCCCAGCCCAAAAGCCTGCCCAGCCCAGGCCCCAGCGCATCTCAGAGCATGCCAGCCACTACCAGCCCCCAACTCCCAGACCAGCAGGCTCAGCCCAGTGTGGTTTGTCTAACGTGTCTGAGACTGGCCTCAGGCCAACGACCAGTCTGAGACTGGTCTCAAGCTATGCCAGCTACTCAGCAGCCCAGGCTGACCAGGCCCCTTCAGCGCAGTCTGAGACTGGTCTCAAGGTATGCCAGCCTGAGACTAGCCTCAGGCCCAGTCCCTCAGCCCGCCTGCTGGCGTGTCTTACGTGTCTGCGACTAGGCCCGGCCTGGCCAGCAACTCGCTACCCAGCCTCAGCCCATCCAGCGACCCGCCCAAGCACAGCTCAGCCCAGCCAGCCGAAGTTCCAGGCGCAACCAACACCATAATCCAGCTGCCCAGCACCACCCATGGCTTCGCAGCCTCGTGGCTGAGACTACCTAAGCCAACCCCACCCAAGCCCACCCGGTTTGAGACTCGCAGGCTATCTAGCGCCGAGACTGGGCCTCACCAGCCTGGGCTCAACTAGCGTCTAGCCCAGCCCCAGTCCGCCTGCTGGCCAGGCCTGTCTGACGTGTCTGAAACTGGCCCAGCCATAGCCCAGCCCCCTCAGTGCGGCTGCCCAGCCCGCCGTAAACTAGCTTCAGCTCAACCAACAACCCACGCAAGCAAGGTCCAGCCAAGCTGCCCGAGACTAGCTTCAGGCCCAGCGCAGGCTTATCTGATGTGTCTGAGACTAGCCTGTGGCCCAGCCCAACCAGGCGAGGCCAGCTTGTCTGACTTGTCTGAAGCCAGCTTCAGGTATTCGGACCTTCCCAACACTGGATTTCGGTGTTCCTGACCCTTCCCTCAAACTAGGCTGGGCCGAGGCGGGCAACGCGAAGCGTTTACAATTAAACACCAACAACAACGACCCGCGCAGCACAGCCTGGCCACTAACAAGCTAGATAGAAGGCGAACATGCAAGAAGACAAAGGCATGCCTGTTGTCATGAGTTGTTCACTTTTCTGAGGTCACACATAGCCAGCCTAAGGACCAGAAAGCATACATCAGTTCCAAACTCATAGGCGATGTCAAATATGAGCTGCTGCGTGCGGTAGATGGTCGTACGCGGTGAAATCTGCAAAAACTAAGGTATCATGTCTAGTGAGCTGCATAGAAACGTCAATGAGCTGGTTGCAGGTTGCTGGCACCAAATAGCCTGGAATACGGGCTTAAGGCGCAAACATAAGATATCATACCACAACTGCGACTTCGCATGAAGGCGCAAGCTTTCTCTTTCTCTTTCCCCTGCAGGGGAGACGAACAAAAGCTAGCGTCCGCAAAAGGGCGACGGCACATCACTTTGAGGGGTTGACCAGGGGAGGAACTTCACGAGACGAAGGCTCAACAGCCAAAGCGCTCAAACAGCCAAACAGCCCTGCGCTCTCGGCAGAGTGCAATCAGAGCGCATAAGTTGTAAGAGCGGGGAACAGAATGGAGCGAAGGGCTGAGCGAAGGGCGGAGAACAAAGAAAAGGAAACCAAGGAACAAACAAACCAAGAAACAAAAAAACTAAGAAACCGAGCAAGGGAAAGGAAGGGAAAGGAAGGGAAAGGAAGGGAAAGGAAGGGAAAGGAAGGGAAAGGAAGGGAAAGGAAGGGAAAGGAAGGGAAAGGAAGGGACAGGAAGGGAAAGGAAGGGACAGGAAGGGAAAGGAAGGGAAAGGAAGGGAAAGGAAGGGAAAGGACGGGAAAGGAAGGGAAAGGAAGGGAAAGGAAGGGCCAGGAAGGGCAAGGAAGGGAAAGGAAGGGCAAGGAAGGGCAAGGAAGGGAAAGGAAGGGAAAGGAAGGGCCAGGAAGGGAAAGGAAGGGAAAGGAAGGGCAAGGAAGGGCAAGGAAGGGAAAGGACCATAAAGACAGGAGCATAGAAAGCAACTAAATCTTAATGAGCTGAGCATAACAAGGTGCAAAAGCAACTTCACTACCAAGCGATCAAGAACTTTCGTTGTTAACATTGGCCAAAGCCTAGAAGCTGGCGCAGCATCTGGCTTTCTGGCACGTGCTTGAGCATGATACGTTGATGCTCAAAACCCGGAGATTGTGGTGCTGTCAACACCTTGGCGACCGAGCAGTGTGCCGAAGTGTGTTCTTCATTGGCCTCCAGTCCTTTGAATTGGAGATAGAGATAGGTTACTGTATTCTGTAAGCTGGATGTGTGCCTGATGCCATGAGATATGCACAAAACTGAACACCTGCATAAGCTAGGGTCAATTCCATTTGCGCCAAGAAGTGTTTCACATCCTCAAAGGCGCCTGCGTCATCCTGAGCTCCGTGCAGCATTTGTTGAGCTCCGCGGGGATGAATCTGAGAAACATGCGTACTCACCTGCGAATCAAATGACAATTCTTGATGGTCTGCCGCAAAGAACGGCCTCAAAGCTTGTGGGCTGGCAACATAAAATTAGCATGTGCCGAGAAGCTTTTTGCGGGGACAATGCCACAAATGATGGCGCGCCAGCCAAAACACAATAGGCTTGCTGTGCCAGCTGGATGGACACAAAGCTTCGGCAAAATGCCCTGCAACTACGGGCTGGACCGATTGTCCCCGGCAGAAATGAGGCCGGCACCAAATGACGGGGTTGAGCTCACCCGTATCACAGCCTTGGTTGAGCGCTGTGCAGCGCGCAATCATGAAATTGCGAATTTCAGAGGGGATACTTCATTGACCTAACCCACTACCCAGGACATCCTCTCATTCTGACTTGGTGTCCCCCGCGCTTCATCCTTTGGCCCCCTCGCAACTCGCCCCCAGTCCGTCTCTTCATTTCAACCTGCAGACCAGGTTCTGTCATAGCTAAGGCCAAGATTTCAGCATCACCTCTTGCATGAACACCTCGTCCATCATATCCAGGGAGGACTCAGCCGTGGCAGTGGTGAGAGTACAAAATACTCTAAAGTTCTAACCCTGCCACTTGCTTCCCATCGAGCGGCGTCATCGGCCACGTGGCAATCACGCAGAAACTCAGGATCCGCGAGGTCCAGCATGCAGCGCTGGGACAGGATCTGCTCTGTGAGCCGCGAGATCGGCAGCAAGGTCTCCTCCGGAAGCTGGCACCTGGCGCAGCAAGGTAAACAGCACGCAAGAGCCTTGCAAGCTAAGAAAACCGTGCGCTGGGGATCGGAATGCTCAGTTCAGCCGCGACTTGGAGAAAATAGGGCCCCGGTAAAATTGTTAGCCATTTGACCAGAGGGCCTTGAGCAAAGTCTAGAAAGCACTTTGTTCAAAGGCCCAAGTCACAGGACAAGCTACATCGTGCGAATGCAATGCCATCGTTCTAAGGTAAAGCCCTGGAATTCCGGAAGCGCAGCAAACACGAAGAAGATGTGATTGAAGGAAGTGTGTGAGGAACTAAACGTGGTTCTGCGCAAAGGTGAGGAAACAAGAATGAACGCATGCGAGAATACATGTGCGGCCATGGCAAAGAGGAAAAAGAATGAGAAAGGGAAAAAATGAGAAAGAAACAGAAACAAAGAGAAATAAAACGAGAAAATAAAAAAGAAATGGAAAAATGACTACAGTTCTTTCTGTTGAAAAAACCTCTGCCAAACGGCTTCGCCGGCTCCGCCGGTACCCGTCGGACTTTAATATGCGAAAAGGCCCAGAGGGTGGATACGAACTCAGGTCACCAATCAGGCGAAGCGGTTGAGACTCATGCGTGGGGCCTCTTTTCAGACCCGCCGTTGCTGCGCTATTTGAGGGTCAAACGGCTTGGGGCTTAAAGCTTTCCTCATTCCGTGAAAATTACAATTTGTTTCGAGCTGGGAAAGGTAAAGGGGGGTCCAGGCGACTGCTGCTGGAGTCCAACCAGTCCCGAATCGAGCCTGGAAGCCATCAGCTTGGAACCCATGCTCTCTATCTGCGATGACCCCTAGCGCTGATCAATGGGCTTGGGAAGAAAGTTCTGCATCTGAGTGCGATGTGATTGTTCTTTTTTAAGCGAAGCTAATCGCTGAGCCAAACAGACGCGGCCATGTTCAGAACCAAACTACAAGTCTGACCCGAGGAATAGCCACAAAGGAGACATGTCGTTCTCTTGTGCATCCGATTTGAAAATGCAGCCTTGCATCTCCTGATATGTAGATCTTGAAAGAAGCACCCTATGATTCAAGAGCGCATGGGCGGTGCTTGATAGAGCTCATGTCAAGGCCTTAGACATATTCCTTTGGGCAGTTTCAAATTAAGTAATCATTAGCGCACCGCTTTTGACTTTGGAAGGGGCCCGTGAAAGCTGCTGCGCTCAAACTAGAAGGAGGGGCCAAAACAAATCTCAAGGAGCGCCAAACCTGCCAGAAGGTCCACGATACTGTCAACAGGATTAATCAACCCCACAGATTCATAAGGGGTTCTTCCCGAAAAAGTGCAAGATCAATGGACCTGGGGTTTCTCAATCCTGGGCTCCCATTCACCAAATCGCTTTTCACTGCTGGCTCTCCGCGTCCGGTGTCTTTGGTGGCGTTAACCACTACACGCTTGTTCGTTCTTAGAGATGGCAATCTTTGGCTCATCAACTGCACCCTCGGTGTCAACTGCATGACACACAGCGGGGCCATTGCCTTTATTGCAAAAACCATGTGAGCAGCATTGTGGCTGCCCGCAGGGAGGCGCGGCACGCCACCTAATGCGCTCAGGCTTGTTTGTGGACCATGGGGCTTCCGAGTTTTGTCCTCAGCAGCCAGAACTGCAAGAACGACAAATTGCTGCTCGGAATGATGTCTGATAAGCTTGTCCTGTGCGATTGGCGTAAAAAGAAATGTCTTAACATCCAATGCCCTTCAAAGCAAATGCTCTCTGTTCAGTTGAGCAGCTCTGCCGTTGCGCCGGTCAGCACCTGAAGCGATGCAGCAAAGTGCATGATTCAACTTGGTGTCGATCTCTGGCAGCCGCCACATGCGATTGTGTCCAGGGCATCCAGCCCCACCCGCAAAAAAGCCCTCAAAATCCTGTTTAACGGTGCAGCACGCACATAAGCAGCCCTTGCACATAGCCGTGTCCCAATTATGTTTTGGGATGCACGAACCTTGCGGATAGAGGCCGCTGGCCCAAGAGCGAAGCATCGAACGCCACCCTATCAACTGGGCTCCCAATAGAGGGAAGAATCCGGCAACGGTGGCTCAGCCAAGCTGCTGGCAGGGGCAGTGTGCGGGGCCGCTCGGCAGCTCGGCACCTGAGAAGCTGCGGTGCCGTCCCTGAATAGAACAATAGTAGCTGGCAGCTGGGAAAAGTAGTTCCAATTGGCGTGATAAGCTCAAACTCCGAAAATGTCTGCCCTCGTTCCTGGACGAAGCTTGCAAACAGAGCATGTCCTCAAAAGAACCCGGCCCATCAACTCCTTGCCTGAGTAGATGCAACAACCAATCTCAGCATAGCGGAGCAGCAAAGAAATGCAGTGCGCGCCTGCCTGTATGCACACCTGTGCTCATGTGCCTTGAACCAAGGCGGACTCGTCATGTTCCAACGTCGGCAATGCCCTCTTGGCAAGCAACAGACCGAAAGCAACCAGTTCACCACTGGGAACCTGATCAGCCAAGCCGCACATTTCCCCGGTCCAATGCGAGGCCGCTTACAGAGGACAGCAGGCGCCCACGCGCTCTGCCTAGCATTGGCACCGCCAACTCGCATCCAGTTCAGAGAAGTGGGCTGCGCTCACATGTCCACAAAACAAGCCCCCAGAAAGAAATATCCCAAGAAACGAGCCACCAAACAAAATCACAAAGACGGCGCATGCCCACTGAATCAAACAACCAAAGACATTGCCAAAGACTTGCCCGAGGGCATCCCACAAGCAAGCCAAAAGTCAAATTCATGCCTGGTATGATGCTCCGCGGTGAGAAAATACAAAACGCAGTCCAAATATCATCCTTTTGTGGAATTGCCCGCGGTTCAGCCAAGCATCTGCGGGGCAAGCGACGCCGGCAACGTCGGTGGCAGCAAAAACCGGAACCTTAGGTATTGAAGTGTCCTGGGCAACTTTACTCAGAATTTCATGCTGGATGCATGCAAGCAAACCATACACCACTGTCCGACCATACACACCCTAGACGACATGCACGCATACATGCTATCACAAGCTAAAAACACCCCATACATACTCAGTACCATCAATCCTGTGCACTAATCTCCAAAAGAATCCTTACGCCGTACTGTCGGTGCGCTAGCACCCCCCCCCCCGATACAAGGTTTCCCCTTCTTCCTCCCAGATTCCCACCAATACTAAAGTAAAGGGCCAACAAGGTTTGCCCAAAAACCCTACTCTATAGATTCTGTGCCTCTTCAAATCCCCCCTGATTAAAGGCATGAAGCCAAAACAACCTGCCAGAAAAGGGGCCTTCTTTCTTGCTTAGTATTTGTTTAGTCTGTCCTTAAACCCACCAATACTAAGTCACTATTGAACCCATCAAGTTTTCCCCGAAAATGTGATTCCCAAAAAATGGACTTTCCTGTATTACATGTTGTTTAAAATGACAAGGTTTGCAAGCTCGCAAGGGCGGGGATCCCATTATGCCTAACACATCGCCATCTGCTCAACGGTGGCGACACCCGCTATCCGTTACAATGTGAAGGAAATATCAGTGCCATGTTGGAATCAGCCTGTGCAAGCAAAAAACCAAAAGTAAAGGAACGGCACCCAGCCTAAAGCTTCCCAACAACAAATTGAAAATTGCATATGTCACGCACGACTACGCATCACATGTCTTGCCTGTACATACTTCCAATGATACATGCCTGATATTCCGTGCACTTGAATGATAAAGCTGCACACATTACATCAACATTGACTTCCAATTAATTGAATGATGACACATGGCATGAGTGCATTATGTGCTCAAGGCTTCAAGTACATCTTCAACATTGTACAGACCACCTAGGTGAAATCATGACAACACATCCTTGTATGCTTCTATGGGTCCTTAGTGCTTAGACGGCCCCCCCAAAAAAAATGCTCAAAACCCTGCTGAGGGGGACCTATTGGGGCATGGAAGAACTGTCGGCGGTGTTGACAACAACCGGCCGGCACCCATGATGGCGCCGCAAGTAGTCCCTTCATTCAACCTGATATGTAGCGGGGGTTCAAAAGATACTTGACATTAGGTGGCAAACAACCCCGAATTGCCAACGCTCCTGACAAGCTGCAATTCATCTCCTTCCCATTGTCCACGCAGCTACGGCATGGCAACTCCAAGGCTAGCTTCCTTGCACGCAACCAGTGATTCATGCTGGCCGCAAACACACTCAACTACCGCAACTTCCAACCTGGCATGGCTCAATTCTCCGTTCAGCACCTAGGCTAGCCAAGCTTCGTGCACAAAGCGTGAAGCTTCATACCTTGGGGAAAGCATGGTGCGCACAAATCGATCGCGGACATGCACTCCCTTTTACTTTGCATTTACTGAATGAGGCAAAACCGGGGTCTTGTTTTGCTGGCTTGCTCCCTTTGAATTGAAATTCCCACGCCAACCAGCCCCAATGCTTTCTTGCTGCATAAAAAAGAAAAACATATCTTAAACAAGCTCAGGTGCAGTCGCGTTGCTCGAAGCCGGCGGTCTCAATGGCTTAGTCCCAGGTTGCGCAGGCAGATGGTCAGCACCTTTGCATCCTGGAGAGGTGAAGGGCCGCGCAAGGATGGCACCCAGGGTTGCTCGCTTCTGCTTCGGCAGCTCCGGTGCAGCACAGAAGGCATGAGACCTGGACAGCGCCAAGCATCACAGGAAGCGCGGTGCTGCCAGTTGGCACGTGGGCAAAGCATACCTGCAATTCTGCAGTGGCCGATGCCCGGATCGCGTCAAGAAAGCACAAGGCGTGTCATTTTCCGAGCCACTTCCAGTAGTGCATAAGGTTGGCGCCTTCGCTGGCATTGCTTTGCTAGTAAGCATGGTACGAGGCGTCATGCCACGTCCACACACAACCAGAGGCTTGGCACGCAGCGGAAGCACAGCTAATGACTGTTGAAAGCAATGCGCACCGAGCAACTCAGTCAGGAGAACCACACTGGGTGCCTTCCACGTACAACAGCCGGGTAAAAGTTGACAAGATCGAAACTCCAAACTCACTCAAGCAACGCTAATGGCTGCATACGAGACTTCAAGAGGTACAAGGTTTGTATGAGATCCGTTTTTGGATCATCAGGCGCACATGGCCGAGAAGGCCAATGCACATCAAGGCACCTGATTGGGGCATAAGGCTGGCTTTGCTGGAAGAGGTCCAAATCATCTGAGATACACGTTCTGCCTGTGCAATGTTTCAAGACGATTTCAACGTGGCGAGGGCCTGCTGATGCTATTGAACCCTTGCGACCGCCTGCTGGAGCCAATAACTTGAAGGAAACACCAGCACCCATCACAGTTGAAGATATGCCAAGCCGGTCATTGAGCACACTGAATCCTGGTGCAAAAGCAAGAGTCTCAAGTTGAATGGTGTACGGCTGTTGTTGGCACAATGCCCCCAGTGTCTTTGCACTTGCGTTGCTGATCACGCGCTGTCCCACATCGCCACGGCGGTAGGTACCAAGACTTCCTGGACTTCCCATTTGTCAGCCGCATGGGCCGCAGCGAGCATGGAGCACATCCCCCCGGCTACCTTAGAAACAACTCTGCAGCTTGCGAACTTCTTGGCCACCGCTGCCCGTTTCCAGCTTGCTGTTGAAACACCGCGCCCAGCATAGGTGTGAGTTCTTGGCCTCTCGCACAGTTTGCATGCCTCACACCTCCCACGCGCGGAAAAAGCGCACCTTCTTCGCAGGATGCACCGCCTTTCTCCCATGTTCAAAGCGACTATAGTGCCAAGTTGCGCAGGCAAGACCAATGTGCAACACAAACTCTGGGACCCCAAGAGCATGGCATGTGCAGGGGCCAGCACTGCTGACAACCCGCCAAACCCAAGCCGAATCAGAGAGGGCAGGGGTTGGGATGTTTCCTGGTCTCGTTGGACTGCCGGCAAGGGCGAGCAGGGCGCCTGACGTGTAGAAGGCTGGCCCGGGCGGTGGAAGAGTGCAGCATCTTGGAGCAGATCTGAGGTGAACTCCACAGGGCAAGTGCTTCCCAAAAGCTTCATGTGAGAGACAGGCACGGGCCTCACCGTGGTCTTCGGGCAAGTACTTCCAGCCAGGCCCACACTGGGAAAGCTTTCAGCTAAGCACATGTGGCTACTTGCTGGCTGCGGAAAGAAAAGCAGCGCGGAAGCGTCAGCGCAGCGAATGCAGGCAGGGTCTGCCAACCAATAACTTGCAGTTTCTGTCCAGTTGCAGGCTTTGGGACACATGCCTGCCACTGCTCCGTGTCTGCAAAAGGGCACCATCTGCTAACCAGGCCAACTGGCCATCAAGCTGCCAACTTCTCAGGGATGGCCGCCAGGGTGCCTGAATAATCGCACAATAAAACAGCAGGGTGTGACATGTGAAAGTGCCTTGCAGCATTTTGAAGAGAAAGGGACTGGCACTTGCATGAGCTGCGATGAAGATTTGAACAGGCTGCAGCTCACTGCTTTAGCTTTGTTACACACGCGGCAGCCGACACTAAACGGAATTCTCTCCTGGACCCAATTCAGCGCTGAAAATCGATCAGGCAGCTGGTGCAAGCCACACGTCTTCAGCGAGGCCACTGCCATGTCGCCAATCATTCCTCCTGCAAACCGGACGAGTGTGCCAAGAACTTTGATCGCGATGCAAGGCTCGCAACTGGCAAGCGCACGCTGCAAGCACGCGGGCAAAGCGAGTTGTGCTGGAAGACGATCGAGCAGAACAAAACTGCCTGAAGGCCCAATGCCGTGCATAGAGTTGCAACTGGGCAGCATGTCTTCGAGAACGCAGACTGCTTCAGAGTTGTCTTGGCCTTTGAAATTTCAATCCTGGAGCCAGCACGCTGCCTTTGGATCTCCAACGCTGCAACGAACGACTTGGCAACCTGGAACGGGTTACCTGCCCAGGACACAGCCATTGCCGCGTCCACTACGAAAGAAGTTCCGTGACATTCAGGAAGTGCCACCAAAACTCGTGATGAGTGGGCCACTGTCAGACTGCAGGAAGCAGCCTGGGCGCCTTCACACAGTGAAGGCTGGCATTGCGCTCGCTTAACTCCATGGGCTGTCGCCAAAAAGAGGCTTTGGAAAGAGGCCTCCAGGATTTCAATCCGATGGCGCGGACAAGCTGGCACCAACAAGTTCGGCTCGTGGACCGTGCTGCAAGTGTAGCTGGAACCGCTGATGGTTGTGGGAACCCTGCATTCAGGCAGGCGTGGTCCAAAAGATCCTCTACCAGTGTGGCATGGGTTACTTTCCAGAGAAGAGTGCAGCGCACTCGAGTAAGCGCCTGTTGACTTGCCACCTGTGGCAAGGGGCACCGGCCGGAGCCTTGAAGTGCTGCAAGTGCACAAGCTGCCTCAAAAACCACCACCAAAGCCTTCTGCCTGCATTTGACTGGACACCAGATTCTGCCCTGTTGGATTTGGAGTGGAGGCCGCGGGCTGGGCACGCAAACAGTGGCCTGAGGAGCGGGCTTCGGGGCAATCGTGCTTGATGCCTTGCGCCAATGAACGAAGCCTTTCGGCACATTCATGCATGCCACATCAGTCAAGTGATTCTGCAGCAACTGGTTTTCCAACACTTTTAGTGGCAGAAGGTGTTGGCTCCAGTTGACATGGATGACTTCGGGATGGCAGCACGTGCGCTGGCTTGCCGCGCGATCAATGGATAGGCCGCAGCTGGTTCTTGAAACATCAGCCTTCGAGATAGACAAAGGTGTTTGTTAATGGAACCCACAAAGTTTCCGGTCGCGCCACCCTCAGCATGGGCACCTCAACGCAGCGTAGCTGGGAGGTAACTCCGAGAAGCTTTGGAAATGCTGCCGTGTGAACGCAGCCTAGCCTCTGGAAGCAACAGAGGCCCTCAAACGACTTTGGTTTGGGCTTCAGGCATGCTGTGGTGTCTTTGATCTGCCTTGGCCCCAAGGCTGTTATGTTACTGAACCTCCAAACGGGCAAGTGAAGCCTCCAAAAACGCTGCATCCTCAAAGATCATCAGCTTGGAAGCCTCCCAATCCTCCCACCTCTGCTGCCTAAGGCCAGAGCAGTCTGATCTGAAATGACCTCCAGTCTGTTTCATACGTTTTGGGTTTTTCCTCACTGTCATGGCCCCATCATGGCTGCTAGGGGCAGTAGGGCAATCATGCCTCGGGCAACTTGTCCGAGTCGGGTAGGTTGGGTGCAAGCGGGCCAGAAATGACAGGCATGTGAGGTGCTGTGAACCTCGTGCTAGTGCCACCGGCTGCAAAACAGGCAGCCGAGTTGCCGCATCTTCGCTTTTGTGATGCGAGGGGGTGCAACACACTGCTGTGTCACAACAACTAGGCAATGGCAGGCCCAAGACAGCCAAGACTTGACTGCCTCCCTGGCAAAGTCTGTGCGCTGGCTTGGGCACGATTCTTTGCTGCGCTAAGCGTTTGAGGAGGCCAAATGCTCGGCAGCATGCGTCAGACCTACGCAGCTGCGGGCGCTCCAAAAGGCACACCGAACTGATGTGGCGCGGTGCTTGAAGCAAGCAGGCTGCAGGAGCAGCAGGTGTCAAGCAAGCCTCAAATGCCAGTTGTGGCCCGACAAGCCATGAGAGCTGAGTGCGAGTGGCATAAATCAGGTAAAACTCACACATGGAGCCTGCAGGCCTGCTGCTCGCGATACAGACAGAGCAGCCAGTCAAGCGGGGAGCATCACCAAAGCAACTTCTGAGTTGATGAGTTTGACTGCTCTGAAAACTGATCAGCTGGCGAACCCTCGCATGCGACCCAGTGAATTGCATAGGGATCAGACCCGTCAGCATTGGAGGATGATGCGTCCGTCATGGACTTGCACAGCCGCAGCATCCTCATCGAAGCCAAGGCTCAAGCCATGATAGTCCAGTTGCACTTGGCTAGTCACAGTGAGCACCCGCAGTGCAACACCTCTTTGCTGCTTGCAGCCCGAATTTGTCAGGGTTGGGTTGCACCACAGAACGTTCCAAGGGCCTCCGGGATAGCAGACTGTGCCACAGTCACATTCAAAACAAAAGCAGCTAGAGCCACCCGCCGCACCTTAGGAAGTTGCATTTCTGATGCCAACAAGGCCAGCAAGCTGGCAATGGCTTGGGACTTTGAAGGCTTCGCGTTCTGGGCCAAAGCCGCCTTGATGAGACTGGAACACCCCTCCCCCTTCCTAACAAACGTATGTGTTGTCTTGCATACCTTGGCAGGACATGGCTTCGGTTTCAAGATTACTTCGACACAAAGTGCATGTGATTGACAGAAATTCGGGGAAGTTCAACTGCGTCAGTCAAACTTTGCCGAGTGGTTGCCCGTTCTGTGGCAGGAGCCTTCAGCTTGCCACACGGAACAAGAAGAGAAGAACCGAAATCCAATTGGCTGGATTCGGGACTGCGCCTGATCTCGGAAACGGCCTCATGGCATCGTCTGGGCTCTGGAATGGCCTTGAGAGGGCAGGGCTTGTTAGCAGCATGGCTGGTGTGGCTAGCGGGGCTCGTTCAGTTGGCGGAGCCAAGCTGACAGCGTGTGCAGGAGAGAATGTCGCCACAACCACCTGTCCCGCGAAGCAACGGCCCGCTCTCCAAGCCCTACAGCTCCCCACAAGCACAAGTCTCGCGGGTTGCGATCGCAGGCAACATGTTTGTGTGCCAAGCACCTCCCCTAAAGCTAGCACAACTAGCAAATCACGAGCAGACGTGGCAGGCCTGCCCAGCGCTTTCAACTGCTGGCAGCAAAGACCGTTTCCGCTGACTGGCTGGCTTCCGAAGCTGTCATAGCACATGATACAAATCTGTGCGCTAACCGTGTCATGGATCTGCGATCTGCGTTTCATTGCTGGCAGACCTCTGTCTGTTGCACATGCTCTGCCACGAGTTGTCGGCGAAAGCCTTGCAGCAACCGTGTCATGATGGATCTGCGATCTGCGATTGATTTGCTGGCGGACGTCTGTTGCACATGCTCTGCCGCGTGTTGTCAGCGAAAGCCTTGCAACCACAGGTGCACAAGAACCAATGTCCATCACGCCTTGGCAGGCACAGCCTGCACACCCAGGCCTTGCTGAAAGCCACTGAATAAAATGCTGAAAGTACAACATCGCTTCACAATCAAGCACCTGCATATTCAGACGAAGTTGCGCCTGATCAGTCGACAGAAACCCACACCTCTCGCTGCACCTGCTGGCCACGGCTGTTCTACTGCAGCACGGCAACAAATCCCTTTGGGTATGCCGACTTTGCCGGATTCGGTGCAAAGATGCGACACGGGTACTGAGTGAAGATGTGGCAGCCAAGCGAGCAAACGGCCGAGGCACCATTTGCTTGGGTGCTTCTGATTGGGATGCAGCTGGGATGTGGAAGTTGACGGTTTGAAAAGGGTGGAATGTGGGGGCTGTGCAACTGATGCAGGAAGCATCATCCAGGATGCCTACTGGCAGCGCCCAATCAGTTGCCATGCAGCCCACTGAATTGGCCGGGAGCTGGGCTGCAGCTCGCATCATCATGAATCCTGTGACCTTGGAGAAGCGAAGGCAAGCAACTTTAGGGTGGATGTTGAGGGTTAGTTTCCTTCCGGCAGGACACCTTTTTCGCAGACTTTGTGGTGAAGCATCGCTCAACGTCCATTCAAGAAAAGGCACAGGAGGGCCTCGAAGCCCTGTCCACTGCGCGGCATGCACCTTCGGCCGCCCTGCTGCAGGCAGTACTGATTTCAAACGTTTCACGCACACAATCCCGGCTCCTGGACTAGCACTTGGCAAGCAGTGTTTGCAAGGCCTGCATCATCAAGGCACCTTGGTTGAAGTGATCCCGCAAAAGCACGATAAGCCAGAACTCTCCTAGCCAGGGTAACTTGTGCAACACCTGGGCAAACAAGCTGTTCGGTGCAGCTCTTGCTTGTGCCCGCCAGACAGTGCCTAGCTTGACGCGGCAGCATATGAGAAAAGCGCATGGCTTGCAGGACTGGAGTGCTTCTGGTCACTGCTCGAACTGGCGGGCGAACGACAAACGAGCAATGTTGCGGCAGCAAACGCACGCCCCGAAGGCTAGACATGCTGCTTCTGCTGCAGAGGCTCAAATCCATTTCTTGCTGGGGTTGCCTGTCTGCACTTCGGTCAAGCGTTGCCCTTCTCAACATCGGTCCGGTCCGGTGTGGACTTCGGTCAAGGCACTGGCGAAGTTCTGCTGCGACTATTGCCAACGTTGTTGCTGGACCCGGCCGAAGAGGCTGTGAGATTGACAGCATCAAAATTGATGCCTGTGCCCCTTTCTGTGGGCACGCTGAGCTGAAGGGCATGTCTTGCAGAATGTCAAGGCGCCCGTCAAGGGCTGTTTCCAGGATGGTGGTGCTTCACGCTGGGCAGGCAAGGCGCCTCTCTCCAAGAGGGCCCAATCGAGCCATTCACTAGCCGGAGTTTGCTCATGGCGGAAAGTGGCCCTTAACCTCCAACGACAAACGCCAGTTGGCTCCGGAATTGGCTTTGGCTGGGCAGTTTCGTGGGCGCTGGTGCGCAGTACTAGGTGCTTTGCCGTCTCACTTCGGGGTTGCACCAGCTGAAGCCGCTGCAGCTCACGGAGAGCGCCCTGGCAACGACCAGGGCAGCAAAGATCTCTGCACAGATCGCAATTTGCTGCTGCAGGCGGGCGCCAAGCAAATGCCAAAGGCCCGTCAACCTGGCAAAACGATGAAATGTCGAAACCATGTAAGGCACACGCCCGGGCAACTTCTTATGATACAAACCAATCGGTGCAAGACATGACACATCTGAGGCAAAACAATCGCTGGTTTCGCCCAACCCCCCGCCCACCAACCCCAGCCACCCATATTATAGCTCATTACAACTAGGCGATGCCAGTGTGGTGCAGTCGACGGCCAGGCCCGATCGGGCCCCGACCTGGGCCCGGTGAACCTTGCAAACCATACCTCAAACCACCCCGGACCACCTTTGGCGGAACCCTGGTAAAACTGTTGTGGGACGTCAAACCACCCCGCATATTCGTGGAGAAACATGGTGGAACCCTTGTGGAACCTTACCTCAAACCACCCCGGACCACCCGAACTCTGGTGGAACCCTTGTGGACAGTGGAACCGTGGTGGAACCCTGGAACCCTCGTGGAACCTTTCCTCAAACCACACGGACCACCCCGCACCCTTGCAGAACCTTAGAACCTGGTGGAACCCGTGCAACCTTACCTCAAACCACCCCGGATGGTGGAACCCTGGTGGAACCCTGGTGGAACCCTGGTGGAACCCTGGTGAAACGCTGGTGGAACTCTGGTGGTGGAACCCTTGTGGAACCTCACCTCAAACCACCCCGGACCACCCCGCAGCCCTCGCAGAACCTGGTGGACCGCTGGTGGAACCCTGGTGTTTGAGGTAAGGTTCCACCACCATGGTTCCACGAACCTTGGTGGTAAGACCCTCGTGGAACCTTACCTCAAACCATGCCGGACCACCCTACCTCAGGGCCGCCCCGGACCACCCCGGAGCGTATCTGGGCTGAGACCCCAAAGCTTTCAGCTATTGGGTCCCCAACAGCATTGGCCAAAATCATTCCTTGGAAATCCCCCAAAATCCAGGACCTGCCGGCTGTGCAAACCCAGGGTTGGCACAAGCCTATAGCTAGTGCTGTTTGGGACAAAGAGCAAACACATGCCCTGATCTGGTCAGTGCACATCTTCTCTACGAGGCAGGCCTCAACATGTTTTGTCATACTGTGTGTCCCAATCACCCCCCTTCAAACACATACCTTGATTGCCGCGTAATCTGAAGCACCCCTGCCCCCGCACAGATTAGCCGAACCTCCAAGAAGTCGTTATCAAGCACGTTCGCGAAGTTCACTGCGGCCTGACAGGGTCAAGAATGCAAGCGGACCAATCCCTCATTCTCAGCATATTCGAATCGAGAAGCAAATCTTAGATCGAGTTCGGGGAAGCACTGTTTGCTTGTGGTTGTAACATTCCTGCTCATGCTAAGCGAAAACCCTGGCCTCCGTCCTTCTTGCGCAGCTGCATCTCACAATGCCCTCATGTGCAATTAAAGTCGCGACCCTTGCTCTCTGAAGGCCGGTCTCACAGACCGAGTCACGCCCAGCCAACCAAATCTCAAAAGGCCACATGCGATGGCACCGCCTTTGGAATAGGTTTTGCAAATGGATGGGAGTCCTCCCCTTCCAGACTATTGCCCAGCAAAGTGCAAGTCAGGTCAACGCAGCTTGGGCAACTAAAAGTGCAAACTTCAAATGCATGCGTGCATGCAGGATGGAATGGCACGCAAAACTTCTCCGCCAATGCCACCAGCTGTCACAAATCGGAACATGTGGGCTACGGTCGGCTGGTGTGCTTGCAGGTGCACATCGAGTTGTCTGTTCAAGCTTTGCCGACAGCGAACGCAGCACAAACAGGCAGGCAGACACAGCCACCAACGTTAAGTACTTTCGTGTGTTGCAAAACTGCCTCAACTTGTTTGCATGGCAGGAGATCTGGAACCCAGCCGCACTCGGGCAGTCTGGTCGAACAAGTTTCGCTTAGCACCTCAGCACGCGCTGAGGCCCGCAGGAGCCACAGTACAACAAACGAAGGGTCGGGCTCTACGGTCCGGCTGCCGGACAGCAATGCGGAGCGAGGGCCATCCAAGCCCGCACCACGGGAATGATTTAGCTGGGGATCCTACGGAAGCTGTACGACCCTGTCACAAAAGGAGCTGGTCCCAAGAAACAAGCTCTGCCAGCACTTGGTTTAAGCTTGGGTTGCACACCAGGCATTGGAAGAGTTGCCATTACAGGATCACAGGCGATTGATGAACGGCATTCAAAAAGTGAGCCCTGTGTCAACATCAAAGGCCTTTGTTGCTCTCAGGCGCCCCCGCCACGATGTACTGCTGAACTACACCTTGAACAATGCAGGCAGCCAAAATGCTGCGCGGGGCGACAAAGTTGACGCCAACATTCTCGGGCCGCTGGTGCCTTGTCCTGGCAAAGTGGTGGCAGCATTTGCCCCAAGCAGCCTTCAAAAGAAACTGAGAAGTTGGTGGCTACAGCTGCTATAGCTGTGTCCAACTCAATGTCGAGCGGCCCAAGCCTTGCCTGCGTGGAACTCACAAGGAACTGCTTGTGTGCTGAGGGCACCTGCAGCACAGGAGCCAGCTGCCTTATCTTGAGGACAATGTCACGAGACTTTGACGGCGTGCACTGGCGAGGGGCAAGTACGGTGCCGCTGGAGATTGGGTCTTTGATCTCACTCTGTCTGGATCTGCGTCATCCGCATCTGCCACCACCATGAAAATCAGCACGTGCTCCGAGCTTTGCAGGCTTGAATGCAGAGTCTGTCGTTGAATCACGCACTACGAAATCCAAAAGACTTGCCCTCATCCTGCATACGCCACTCGAACAGGCACAGGGCAACCAGGGCAAGCCAGCTGGCGCATTGCTACTTTGCATTGCGGCTGACCACCGAGACTGCGTGACAGGCTGCGCCGCAAAACACCAGTCAGGCATTTGGCAAATTGAGCCATTCCTGGAGCATGGCGGTGTACCTGACATATGTCGTGGCTGGCAGGCATGGATTGTGCGTGGCGCTGGCGAGCAACTCCTTCAGCATGTGTAAGAAGAGTGACGACCATGGTCACAAGCAAAACTGACGAGTCTTCTTCAAGGTGCTGCTGGCTTGCTTCCAGCTGTCCACTGCTACGGGGCAACTATGTTGGACTTCACAGTCCACCTTATGAATGCCATGGATTGCAGTCGCACGTCCCTGCCCCCCACTTGCCGGTGTCGTGCTTGCTTGATGAAGGGGGCCTCTTGATTCAGGCAACTGTGCTAGCTAGTTGCCTTCACCGCTAGTCTTCGCCCTAGCCATCATGGCCCATGCTGACAGCGAGGCGAGCCAGGCAAGCCAAACTGACATGCGCCGCTCCCGGAGCAGCTTTACAGGACACCGGCTCAGATTCAGCGTGCACACACAGGCTGCAGATAGCGAAGACCACAGCAAAACACACCAAGTGCTTGCAACTAACTGCAGTGGTGCCACAAATTTCCATGTTTGGTCTGTTTATGCATGCCTTGTCATGCCTTATGCACATCAAGTTTGTGATTGGATGCCACTTTATCCTTGGACGCATCAGCTGAAAAGGGCCTCTTGGTGACACACATGCCCAAAGCTCGTCGAAATCTTGACGTGAGCCTTCCTGGCAGTACTGAGTGGTCGAAGCAAGTTGCCCATGAAAGGCATTAAACCGCGCAGGTCGGAGTGCAAGAAAATAAGGGGAACTTCGCAAGCCAAGCACTGCTGATGCTCCAAATGCCCTTTTGCGACCAGGTGTTCCTCCTGACCTGACGCCAAGCAAGAACTGACAACACCACTCTGTTTATGCCCAGCAGCGTGCTTGACGCTCACAAGGCATGAGAACCTCCACGTGCCATGAGCCACGCATCCTGTCGCGAAATGCCTTGTCCGAGTCGAACAACCTCGAACACCTGGCCTGCGCCTCCAAGCGTCCTGCGTGCAGGGAGTGCTCCGCTGCCTGCATGATGGCCGATGGGCCAGGCTGGCATCGCAGACGTCTGCAACCAAAGACTCCAGCGGAGCCGTGCACCCCCTTCTGTGTGGAGTGTAGGAATGGGGAACTCCACCCGCACGCACCTGTTGACATAGACTCCTGGCCGCGGAAACATCACTTAGAGGGCGAAGCTTGTTCAAGCTGTGTAAGCGGAGGCTTGTAACACTGCAAAAGAGCAGCACTTGGCTGACAGAATGCGAGGCCTGAACTGCGAATGGGTCAAGCAAGCATTGCCTTGCCCAAGCCTACCTTGGATGCTTACATTCGGCATCAAAATCCAGAAGCGCAAGCCACATCACACAAATGGTCCAAATGGGGCTGTGCGCCTGGCAGGTGGCAGGGGTTCTCACAAGCCCTGCATCCAGTGTATGTGCTGCATGGCCTGAGGATTGGCTGCCTTGCTCGGCAGTCCCAAGATACAGCGGCAATTCCAGCCCTCAGTGGACTATTGGAGGCTTTTTCAGAGTGGCCTAGGCTCCAACTGCGAAAGCGGAGCGGAGGTACGCATCGATGCTAAACATTGCAAGAGAGGCAGGCGCTGCTGATTTTGCCTGGGAGCTGCTCTGGGGGGTAGATTTTGCCCAGGGCTAGACCCGGCTGTGCAGGCCGCATCACAGAGTTCTTCCAAAAAGTCCTTTTGGGAGACTGCAAAAGCTGCAAGTGCCTGCTGGGCAGCGGCTAAGCAGGCTGCAAGGGCTGCACATGCATGGGCCTGCCGGAAACGCTCAGGCGGCAAAAATACTGCCTGAACCGTGACTGTCACAAGACCTTTCATGAATAGCAGTACCCCCTGTGGCGTTGCTCCGGTCGGATGGGCGTAGTGGTGTGACTACTACACATGCACGCGCGCACACCCACCACACGGCTGAATATTGCCGGCATGTGAACCGAGCATAGCCCAAGGTCGTGCAACTGGACAATCTGCATCTGGCCATTCACATAGCAAGGGATCTTGCATTGGGGAAGTTGCCCTACTGGTGGAGGGGAAGTGGGCAGCTCTGGAACACGCAGGCATTTGCGCAGTTTGCGGTTGCTTTCTTCAAGGACGGTCTCATGGGGACAAGATCTCGTGCTGCGGGCGAAGAGGAGCACTTACTAGTTAAGCATGTGCATGCTTGCAGCTGGCTTGGGTCAGCCACTGAACAGCACGGCTCGCAGCAGGTCAGCTGCAGATCTACTTCCGAAAGCTCCCCACTTTGCACAATACATCTCTCCCAGCAAGAATTGACTAGAGAACACTGAGTGGACCGGTGAGACTGCCTCGGGCAAAGAGCTCGCGCTCCTGGGCTCAAGCCACAAAGGTGGGCTGCTTGACGAGAAGGCTCGCAGTTGTGCACGGTGGGGTGGCGGCAAAATGAAAGGCTTGGCTCTGTGCATTCAAGCTCCGTTTGCTGGCCTCGGCTCCGGCGCTCACAGGGGCTGAAACCAGTGCATTGCAGCCAACGTGGAAGTGCCAATCGCAAAGTCAAATCCTACACTGGCAAAGCACTCTGTCGTCCTCGTGCCGGCACCCGGTTGTGCAGGACGAGCCATCACTGACCTTTTGCTCCGCCAGCCAGGACAGGAGCCAAGTGCGCAAAGCCACTGGCACAGCGCCGTAGAGGTCCAATGATTTTGCATTGATGCAGGCACTCTGGCGGCTTTCCGATCATCACAAGACCCCATGTGCCAAATGGCGGCGCGCAATTGTGATAGCTATGGCCCTGGCTTCTGTTGGGGATGCCTCTGGCAGGTGCTTGCAACAAACACGAGGCTGGTTCCACGCAACCTTTCCATTTCGAGTAAAAGAACCTCGCAGCATCAGCCACTTTTGTGCTGCTTGGCTGATTCTCGGGAAAGCTGGCGTCTGTGGCCGCATAGCACCTGCAAAGCGCTGAAGGCGCGGCGGCAGCAAAGGCATCCCGCAAACGCAAGGCTGGCTGCTTCGGCTGCAAAGGCTCAAGTCAACCTCATGTGTTGGCTTCATATCGGAACTTCTCACAATCTGTTGGGTGCTGCACTCCTCAGCAACACCCCGGATGTCGGCCAAGGCACTTGCAGGGTGTCTTCTACAACTATTGCCAAGGTTGTCACGGACGGAATGGGCCGCAGTGAAATTGCATCAAAAATCGATGCTGATGCGCCCTGCGGCCGCGCCAAGCTGCGAGGCATCTGAGCGCTCGGCCGCTTCACACTGGGCAAGACACCTCTCTCCAACAGCGCCGTGTCAATCCATTCCATGCTGGTGAGCTGAATGTGCCGATGCATAGTGCTGAGCTCCCCCTTTGGCCCGCTGCTTGGCGCATACTTGGTGCTCAGGCTCAGTGCAAAGCGCATAACAAGCCCTCCTTGTTTTTGTTCCTCTGCACATGGACGGACTGGAACGTGTGGGCCAGTGGAATGTGTGTCTGCTAATCACCAGTTGGAGGTTGTGTAGCAGACGCAATTTGCGGACAGCGTGATGTTTTCCTTTGGGCCAAGGACATCACACAGTGTCTTGGCAGTTGGGTGGGTTGATCTGCTGCCGGCCACTGGCGACAGTGCGCTGCACTCTTCATATTGCCAAAGCATGCATTTAGCACAAGAACGGGCCCTGTATCATCCTATGGCACACGAAAGGTCTGTGACCCATTGATTTTCATCCCTCCCGGGGGCGATAGCCTCCGAATCTAGAGGCACACGCAACACCTCAGAGGCCCTCACAATGGGTCAGCAACAAGAATGGCTGAAGGAGTGCATGCTTGGAGGCGCGTCTTTCATCCACAATGGGAAATGTGGAATAACTAGAATGGCTGCTCACATTGCACAATTACAAGTCATTACACGCCTCCATGCTCCCCAACTTTCAAACAATCTGTTTCCTTCGCTGGCCTGCATGCGGAGCGCCTCAGGCAGGGCCTTCACGACGGTGCTAAGTCATGCGAGACAAGAGGAACTTCGCAGGCCAAGCGCTGATGGTTCACATGCGCTTTGCACTTGCCAAGGTGCGCTTCATGGCCTTGCAAGACACAAGTTGCGGTGCCACAAATGGCAATTGGTCTCTTTCTATATGGCACATCATTGGATGCAAATTGATCGTTGATGTGGTGTCGATTGCTACGGGCTACAAGGTTTTCAGGCAAGCAGTGCTGCTGACCGAACCATTCTTGGCTAAGCTTGGCTGACTTGAGCAGGCCCCAAATCAGAAGAGGAAGCACGGGGAAGCACGGGGAACGTGCGGCTACTTCATCCACTGCAACTGGGGCTACTTGCGGACCCGAATGTGATCCACAATGTGCAAGAGCTGGATGCAGCGGTTGGGAGAAAAGAACTGCTGCTTCGGGAGGTTCTCTGCTGCTTTGCTTCTTGAGCTAGGTAAAGCCTGCCTAAAGGCATGAGGTCTTCAAACACTAGCCAGCTGCCTGGGCGGAAGCTTGCTTCCAAAGAGTTGGGCACAACCTTGCCAGAACAGGCCTAAATGCATGATCATGCTGCATGCTCCTTACTTCAAGAACAATCCAATGTGCTCAGCAACTGCGTCTCAGCTGGCGAACTGGCTGGTCATGCAAAAGAAGCTGCCTTGCAGTTCCAGTCAGGGCAAACAACAAGTGGCAACGCAGCTCTAGTTGCACCCGCCTGCTTGTGGAGAGACTGTCTGGATGCATCAGCTGAAACGCTCTTTGTTAATGCGAGGGGCCTAATTGCAATCCGCAAACCGCTTAATCCTTGTGTTGATTGGTAATCTTCTTAATCCGTAATCCGCGCTTCAATGACTTCAAACTTTGGGTCAAAGCCGCATGCTGCACCCCATAATCAGCCATCCGCAAGCCGCATAATCTAATCCGAAAACCGCACAATCCGCAATCCGCTAATCATTGGGGATTAGGCTTTGAACACCGCAGAAAGCAAATAGCAAGGCCCACTCAACGAGGCATACGCTGACGTGTTGCTGGAGGTATCATTTTATGAAGCTTTTGTCATAGCGCTAATGAGCATCCATGTGAATGGGGCATGGCCTCGGATGGCACAAGCGCGATCAAGCGCGGATGGTTCCTGAAAAGAACATGCGACGGTTTTGTCATCAGTTGTTGGTGTTTGCTTCGGTTGGATTCAACACTGAGTAGCACAAAGAGAAGTCATTAGCGCCTCTTCTGGTCTTAGCGTTCCCCATGGCTGAAGATTCGACGCCCAACAGTTTTTGCAAACAGGCCTCGGCTTTCCAACAGGTGGCTTTGCAACGGGTGGCTTTCCAACGGCTTCCTTCTCGCCAAGTCAAGAGAGCCCCGATCAACCTGGCACTCCATGCGCAATGCGTCAAACAGCACCGCAGTACATCGCGCCAAGTCTGCACGCGGTACCGTATGCCTTGTCCCATTCGACACATCCGGAATGCTGCAAATTCAACGCCACGGCTTTCAAGCCAAGGTGTAGCACCAGCACAAGATCACTGCTAATGATTTGGCTGCTCAAGATCACACGTCTTGCTGCAAGCCTGGCTTTTCACTGCATGCTGTGGCAGGCACGGGCCAGAATTTGACAGTGGCATTTCAGTGGCTCTGGCAAATGCGATCATCTGCAAATACGCTTGCCAACCGCATGTCGTGGCAAGCGTTCAACTCGCCTCGGAACTGTCCCTAGATATGAATGCTTCAAGAAAAGACTAGACATGACACAATCAGAGTCCGAGTCCGCTAGGCAGAGCCCTCCAGGCACTTGCATCAAAGCTGACGGTTTTTTGAGGCCAACGAAACCATTGTCAGACTGTCTTGTGATTTGTTGGCGGGCAGTCCCTTTGCCCCTCCTTGCATCCGCAGAGCCCAACTTCAAAGCATGACTGATTAATGCAGTTGCAAAGGGCAACTGGTTCGTGAACCGCTCAAAGTTTGCATGTCCAAGGCTTTGCTGGCACAATCCGGACACGTGCCTGCACTTTCCCAAACCTCTCAGGCACAAAGCAAGGCCTGTCCTCGTGAGTCAAGGACTGCATGCAAGTGCCACATGGTGCTGCCACTCCCGCAATCTCACGACATGCATCTCTCAAACCGTGTGCGTTCCTTGCTGCTTTAGCTCTTTGACTATTCAAGGTACACTCCTCAGTGTAGGCGGTGTTACGGACATGTCTTTTTGTGTGAATCCAAGCTGTCGGCATGCTTGTCACAGGCAGGCGGGAACTCGGACTCACTCGACGTTGCTGTTTTGAAGGGATTGTATCCTTGAGCACTGCTCATGTTTTGAATCGAACGATTGTTGACTCTCCCTGGTTGAGCTGCGACACTCTGACTATGCGCATCAACGGTGCAGGTTTTCGACAGGGCCATAGCGACCCGTTCCATCTGTTTCAGTGGGCACTCTGCACTTGTCACATGAAAACGCTGCTTTCATGGCCTTCTGGGCCACCGGCTGAGCATCACACGAGGGCGGAAACTTGAAACCGGGCCGGTCTCGCGCCACGCGTAGGATGACATGACCATGGCATTGACTCAGGTGACCGGTACAGAAGTGGAGGCAAGAGTGGTCCCTTTGCGGCGCCAGTCGTTTTTTGCAGACACAGAGAGGCATGATGCCATGAGTGGCAACAGGAAAGTGTGATTCATTCTTTGCGTACATTGCCTCACGGTCAATCCGCACTGAGACTACTCTTTCTGCAAGGCTTCAGTTGCGGGAGAACTGCTAGGCATGACGACATTTGTGACCTTTAACCTGGCCAGGAAGGCTCCCCTTTGCCATTGAATGAATGCCAAAAGACCTGCGGGACTCTGGATTTGTCTGCCTGGACCTCTCCAGCCTGGTCTCAGAAACTCCTGCATGAATGCGGCAACTTACCATCCTCAATATCAAACAGTGAAAACCTCCTCCGTCGAAGGGCACCCCTTCCACTGCACAAGGCCGGAGTCATGCTCTACATCGGCTCGCACATGGCCAGCGACACTTGGCACCTCGATTTGCAGAACGTCAGCCCGCACGGCTCAGGCCACGCGAGGCATCACCTGGGAGGCACACGTAGCCGGTAACTTTCTTGCGATGCTCGTGCGCGGGGCCTGGCGCATCGTACTCGCATTCCTGCTAGGTCCCTGAGTTGGCACTTTGGAACTCGCAGTTTTGCTTTGGGCTTGTTGCATGGCTGCCTGTCTCGGCGAGCTACGTGGCAAAAAGACGTCCTGTTGCTTTTGCGTGCAGACACTGGGCGTCGCCTTAAATCTGCAATGGTGATTCTCAGCGCCATTGTGCTGGCACGGTGCCTGCGTGCTTGCGTCCTGTTCATCAAGGTTTCACATATCTTGGAAGCAGGCGAGGCAAGCCCCGGACCTGCAGGCAACTATGCCTTTTCGCAGTCGTCACATTGCTGAAGCTTCCTTTCTGCGGAAGCTGCATCATGTTTTCGGGACACCCAGACACGGACAAAACGCTAGCGTTGGAAGTGTCTCCGGTTCTGTCCAGCACTGGCAATGGTTTGTGCCGCATCCTCACATGAGCTCCAGTGACAGCAGTCTTGTGTTGAATCTGGGTCAAGCTCATTCTGGCCTTGCACGACGCTCTGGCAGCCAATCTCTTCACGACTGGTTTGATGCCGCATATCTGGCACCAACACCTGACCGGGCGCATGGCCCTCGTCTGCTCAGATGCCTGCTTGCACGTTGCAAGTTCAGAACGATACAAGCTGACAGCGGACACGAACATCGTCAGCCTCGCACGGCGCCATGACAGGCCGACCGCAACAGCGTTGCCCTTAAAATGCCTCCCCCAGAACTTGGATGGCCGTATCCGCGGCTTTGCTTGCAGGCCGTTTGCTTGGCCAAGCCGCTGAGGTCTATGCGCATTCCGCCTCGCAAACTGCCCGGCACACACATGGCAAGCTTGCGGCCCAGGCTGCGGCCCATGCGGCCGACTGGTGAACGGTTTGAAGCAAGCTGCAAAACAATCACTTGCCTTGCGTCTACGGTGACTTCCCAAGTCTTTCAAATCAAAGATCGCATTCAAACGGCGCCGCTTGATTCCATGCGGAAGGGTTAAATGGTTTAGAGGTGCTTTGGCACGCATCCTTATCTTGCAGCAGCTGGGCTGCAGTGAGCCTTTTGCAGCAGAATGCCTGCAAAAGCATACCTTTGCACTGCAACAGCTGTGAAAAAGCTGCTGCCTCCACCAAACTTGGGGAGGTCCTGCACGTTGACGTTGGCCGCCAGGCTTGGCATCGCACTTCGGGTGGAGCACACAATCTCAATGCAGGAATTCTTTCTTTCATGCATCGCTGCTTTTTGCCCAACACGCCGTGAGCCAAAGAATAGCCGGAAAATGGCAAACTTGTGGCACCGACTCTTTTTGGGGAGGGCAAGTTGCGTCTCATCCCAACTGCCCTGGGT